CGCGTAAAACCCGCGCAAAAATATTTAGCGAGCTTGCCACGGATTACCGATCGCCGCCGGATTTCGGCAGGCCCGAATCCGCCGCGATCGATAGAGACCCCGGGAATATGGCGCGATTTTCGCAAAAATCGATTTTTCTTCTCGAGAAATCTATTTAGCGACTTGATTTTTCCTGCGATTTTCCATTTCTTTGGGTCTCAAGTTATCCTGTTGCGAGTCGACGACGCGATGGCGAGTCGAACGTACGTAGGAAAATCTCCACAATGGGTCAGGGCGTTTTTCGTTTCCTTTGCCTTCATGTTGGCCATTTTTGCCTTCATCGCGTTTTCGTCGCGGGTCGAACGAAAGAGGCCTCCGGACCGATGGCCGAGTCGAAGGGGTGCTTTAACGCGAGTGAGCGAATGCACTTCGCGAAGATTAGATCTGTGCAAGGACGCGTCTTCGCGTCATAACGCTCACATCCTGTCCAACACCGTAATGGGTGATCCACCCTTTGCTCGTCTCTTTCCTTCCTCCTGCCATCGAGCTTCCTCCTCCGTCGATTTTTCCCGAATAAAGTACCCTGCGACCTTACATCGTTTCATATAAATCGTGAAAAAAGAAAATGCAAATAATACCTAAATCCACAACGGAGCGCGGACAAAAGAATCCTTGAATTCTTGATAAAGGATAGCATTTCTGCTTAAACTTTTGCTTTCACTAAAATCCCATTATGAAAATATTTGCAGCCGTAACAAGCGTAATTTTCGTTCCCCCGTGAACCATTGCATTTTTGTTCTCATGCAGTAAGAACGAATTTACAAGGAAACTTCGGCCTATTTCCAAGCGTATATGTTTGCCAAGGTAAGTAGAATTTTTTCCTGGGGAGAGAGACGTGCGAGTCGAATCCCCGGTCCAGTTTACACCCCAAGTGTGTCCCGGGGTGTCGTAAACCCGGCACTCGGGGCAAACGTTCCCGACTTCGCTCATTTTTCCGGCATCCCTCCGCCACTTTCCCGAGGCGTATCGATTCCATTAAGAGGAAACTCCCCTCGTGTCGTCGACTTCGCCCGCGGGTCGGCCGCGGGGGTGTGCGACTCGACGCGGAAAAGCTCGCCGCGCGATTTCGGCCCCCGACCCCGAAGAAAGCGACTCCGGGGATCCGCGATTGTGGCGAGAGACCCGCTCGTTAGCAATTCCCTTTGAACCTCGCTGGGACCCCGAGGAGGGAATAATCGGGCGGCGGACGTGATCGACCTTGTTTGGCCCCGGATACCGGGTCCCGTCCTTCCCTTCGCCTTCGATCGGGCGCGACCTTATTTCGCGGGCTTTGTCGCAGCCGAGTTGCCCTCGAACCTTGCCCGACTTTCGGTTTCGCGATAATTAACCGCGACCCCTCTCCGCGCTAACCGTTTCTCCGGTGAGCGCGGCTAAAAGCCCGCGACCGTTTCGAGCGAAATTCACCATGACGCTTTTCGAGGGGTTTCGGGGCTCTCCGTCGAAAACGCAATCGGGGGTGCACGATCGGCGATGGTCGGGAGATATCCGAGATAGACGAAGACGAGTAGAGCGGTCCGGTTCCCGGACTTTCTCTCCCTCTGTCGCGACGACCCGTCGCGACGGCGACGTCGACGGGTGCTGGCCAATCGGGAGCCAATTAGACGAACTTCCGCGTCGATCGGGACACCCACCCCCGTTTTATTGGCCGAGGATGCCCAACGGGTGCTCGGGTCCGTCGAATAGAACGGATCCGAATCCCGGTCCCGTCCTGACATACGAAGTGGCACCGAATTTCATCCCCGGGGATGCAGTCGCAGGTGCGGCCGGATCTCGCGAGAAATTCCGCGATCCCCTCGATGGCACAGCTGCACCGACGAGGACGAGCAGTCGCATCTGCATGGCGGGGTCGGGTGTCGCCGCTCCGGATCGCATCCGGAGAATCTTCGACTCCTCCGAAACATATTGCGTTTCTATCCGGCCGGGTAACCGATACGTCTCGTCTTTACGTCCATTTCGAGATTGGCGCGGCTCCTGGGGACAGGGCCAACCTTGGGGACTCACCAGGGCTCGATTTGCGCGCACCTTCCGAGTCGATATCCCGGGTCGTACCCCCCCTTTCCGACAGGGATAAGGCATGCTTCGAAGACGAGTTCGAGGGAAAGGGCGCCGTTACCTCGAGTTCGCGCCATTTCGTGAAACGCGCGTAGGAAAAAAGAGGGAGAAATCTCAGGGTAGGGGGCTCCCCCTTCGATCCGTTTGCGAGCGCAGTCGGCCGGTAATTAATGGAACGCCCCGCGTTTCGACGAAACGGGGGATGGTAAAGAGGGATGGCACCCGGAGAGTGGACCGGCAGAGAGGAACGTCGATGGTCGTCTCCGTTCCCCCCGTTGTACGACATAGCCGGCCTCCACTAATAACACTTTCAGCCCCGGTCTTTATGAAGCCATTTAGCCGTTACATCCGGAAATGTAGGGACGGGCGAAACGGCACCGACGAATCGGCCAGCCCCGCGGAATCTGCCCCGGCAGGACGCGAGTTTCGATGGGAACTTAACGCGGAAAGCGATAACTTTCCTCGCTCGCAGCCATCTTGGCCGCCGTTGGCTCTCGCCGGGAAGCTGTTAATTGACTTCACTGACTTAGGGCGCATCTCGACCTCGTTTCGCCGCACTTTGGCCCCCCGCTCGTGGAAAGCGCGATTGTTCGCATAATTATTCAGCGCCAGGGTCCGCAAAACGACCGCCGAGCTTCGCGCTCCTCGATTTTTTCTGCTTATTAACCCTTCGCTCGGGGAAGTAAACGTTTCCTTAAAAACGAGGTGTTTCCTCATGAATGTCCAATGAGCTCGTGAGAACGGCCCGGACCATCGCTCTAGTAATCGAGGCCAAGGCAGCTCCGATCTCCCCTGGACCAGTTTTTACAGGAAAATTCTGATCCGATTCGATTCGTTATTTTTCCAAATTTTTTAGACCGCTTCGAGTTAGAAGGTGATGGGAGTCCGGGGATCGCTTTGAATTTAAATAAATATATGTATATACATTTACGTCCGCTATTCGCTATTTTCGCGACTGCCAATCCGCGTTCTCGTAGGCCGTTTCAGCGGGAATCGGTAATCCTTGCGATAATTTACCACGCCGTCGGGCGTCCTCGCGGATTAATTCTGCGAAAGGGCATTTCCCTTTTTAGCCGTGCATTTTTTTACGGCCCGTTTTACGACTCGCCGCGACGAGGCGAGAAGCGATTAACGGCATCGAGGGTCCGGCCAGAAAATGCGACTCCACGTGGGGCCTCGGCAAGGGGCGAGCAACGCGAGCAGACGGCGTAACGACGTCGGCGGATGAGACGCGGTTGATAAGGAAATTAAAATTTATCGTCCACCTAGACGGAAATTAGCTCGGGGAGTCGTCGAGCGGATTAAACGTTTTCTGCAGGGATGCTCGGCGGCCCGGTGCCCTCTTCCCACCTCTCTCGGCCGCATGCATTAATTACTGATCGTCGGTAGAGACTACTCGCCAAAGGGTGGACTCGCCGAAACCTCGACGTCTTTCAGATTTCGTTGAGTGACTTTTTATCGCCACCCAATATCTCCGTCCTCGAGACGTCCGGGGCTGATTTTCTCGGATTAGCCTGATCAGGTTACCGGATCCAAGATCCTGACGTTTGCGGTCGGCCTTAATGCTCCTCGCAGCCGGAATTAAATACAAACGAACTCGCAAAGCGAGCCGCCCCGGAAGCCGGGATTTGCGTCGACTTAACGGGAGTCACGTCGCGAATTAGATTTTTCGCCGAGTGACTCTCAATGAGGGAGGTCCTCCGGCTACGGATGACTCGGATCGAGCGGAGACTAACGCGAGGAGCAGCTCTATACACGCCGCGGCAGAAAGTTTCTCCCTCCGATCGCGCCAAAGGCGGAGCTTTTGCAAATTTCGAGAATTTCCTCGAATTTCTGGATATTCCTGGCCGAGGGCAATTTTCGCGACGCCGCGTCGCGGTTTCCGTCATGCGTTGATACTCCTTCGCCCGGGAATTTTCCGTGTAATACTGGAGACGGTTTCTCGTCTTTACTAACGGTCCTTGTGGTACCAATTTTTCTCTCCACGTCAGAAAATAAATCTCGACCATTATGGCTTCGTTAAAAATTTTATCCGTACGTAGATTCACTCAGGAATCGCCCAGAATTAATCCAAGTTTCTGGACGAGGGCAATTCTTCTGAACTTTGAGCCGCAGTTTCCGACCTGCGTTTAAATTCCTCCGCCACCTAGGAGATTTTCTGGACGATCTTAGAGAGGATCTTATTAATGATACTCGTGGTAGCAATTTTTCTCTCGCGTAAGAAAATTAATCTCGACCATACTGGCTCCGTTAAGCGCGTTCTCTGTACTTAGATTCTCTCAGGAATCGGGGAGAATTAATTGAAGTCTCTCTTTTACCACCTTCCACTGGCTAGATGGTGGAAGGTGGTAAAAGAGGAGTGCCAGGAATCGCATCGAGAGGACCGGTGTTTGCTTTGCATCGAGTATCGTTTCCTCCCCGACGAGAGTGGAAGTAAAGCCTCGGTTTGCCCGCGAGAGTGAAAAGCGCGAATCGTTCGGACCGATCCCGGTTTATCCTCGGAGTGGTCAAATGCGCGACACGGAGGGTGCCCGGTGCCAGAAAACACTTCATCCCGTAAGAAGTGCATCCGGAAACGGAAACCAATCCCTATCGATTACGCCGGCCCGTCGGACGATTTGTAAAGTGTGATCGGACGTGCTGCTTAATATCGATAATATATTGACTCGGTGTCCGATAACGGTCGCCACGTCTCGGGCTATTTCGGGGTGCACTACCCCGGAGACGAGGCGAAGAGTGCCAAAGGGCCGTATCAGTTTCCCCCGATAAAAGGTTAAATCCAGAATCCACCGGTTCGCCTCGTTTCCGTCGATCAATGGCGGCACTTTGTGGCCTAAAATTATCCTAGATGGGAGCGATTCCGCCGAAATGGCCAATCGTTCCATTTGATACCGATAAGAGTTACTCACCAGCTTCAGCCATGCGTTGGTGGTGAGTATTTGATTCTTCTCGTCCTGGAAGCAAACACAGAGGGGTTATTAAAAGGATCCTTCTCGATTTTGGTGTTCGGTGCATCGCTCATCGGCATTACAGTGAATTGCACTTAAACGTCAATTTAAGGAGGGACTCGAGCAGAGATGGCGAGGTGCACTTAGATTAATGCGACGCCAGGGTTTTCGTCCTTCCCGCTCCGGCTCTCCCGCGTGTCCTCGTAAAAATTCAATCCTGCAAACGCGTCGTTTGAGTTCGAGAGACGAGGTGGCGTTGATTACGTTACAAAATTATTCAATTTTATCCCTTAGGCGAGGCGGAAAGACCAAACGGCGAACAAACGAACAAAGTTCCGGCCCAACGTCGAAGCCGCGCTTCGGGAATTGAAAGCCGGCCAAAATCTTGACGTCGGAACAAACGCCCAGTCGCACGTATTAAATATTCCGCGCGCCTGCCAAAATGTTTTTCCGCGATCCGGGTAAACAGCCGAGCCCCGTATCAGGGGGAAATCTGATAAACTCTCCGTGGATCGCGCCTCGCCAGTTTGTCCCAACGCCGGATGAGCGATTTCCCGAAATCCCTTGGACGTTTAATGCGACCGCGACTCGTAACTCTGGATTCGAAAACTTGGAATCCAGGAAAACAAAGCCTTTTCCATTTCCGCCGTAAAAACGGGATATTAATGCCGGGTCGACAAAGTCTAATAACATCTGAAACATCTGAAAAACCTTTCTCGGTTGCCCGATGAAGTTTCGGAGGCGCATCGTGGATCGCGACGTCGAGTCGCCTCCGTTGATTAAATCGAGCCGACGTCCGTCGCGACGGGCCGCGGCGTCGATCGATGTGGCCGCCACCGGGCGCGGAAACGTTCGGCAATTTCTTTCTCGGTCCCCGAGGGAGTCCGGCGAGACTTCGCGGTCAATTTGACGAGCAATTTCTCCGGGACACGTTCCGGACGGCATCGGACGACCGCGAGGGCAGCAAAAGCGGAGAAAACGGGGCGAGAAAGAAGCCCACAATGGGCCATCGGCGACTCTCGGCCAGGCTCCCGTGCCAGTTGCAAACGGCGGTGCAGCGGGCGAAACGCAGCGGCGCGGCGTCTCCGCGCGTGCACCGGCGTCCGGCGGCGCGCGTCTGCATTTTAAAGAGGCGCCTCGTACAATTTCCCGCTTTGTTGCGGGGACGGATACGTCGGGATGGCAGCGGGGGAGGGCCCGGTGAAAGGGTTAAGTCGTCTAGTACAATCGGAACCCCGTTGTCGCGCTCGAGCCGTAAAGGAGGCCGCGCGCCGCCGGGCCGCTTTTTGTTTGAGAAATACAATATTATTCTCCCTTTGCCCGGTGCATTAGTTAGAGACGTCGAGAAGCGGCTTTTTGTCGGCATCCACCGGAAATGGCGTATCACGCGAGAACGAGGGAGCCGCTTCGTGCTCAGCCCCCGGAAACTCGAGGGGCGGAGGGGCCGCGCCGGATCCTCCGCCGACTATACCGAACGCGCGCGCCCAAAGCCGCCACTTATTTCACTCTTTTACCGCCGCTTCGTCTCGCTCGCTCGCTCCCGGGGCGAAAAGTGGACGGCGGAAGAATCACTCGGCGTCGGACGAGCGGAAGCTCGCCTAATCAACCGGGAGAAATTTAATGGACACGGTCAAGAACGGCCGGAAGAACGGAACGAGCCGAGCGGAGAATCGGAGGTTTTCCGGAGCACGCGGAACATCTGCCACTCCCTCCGCGTCCAGGGCGGGAAGGATGCCTCTCTTCCCTTTCAGAATTTATCGACGCTCGGCAGGATCCGCGAACGCGGCCCGAGAATCGTAAAAAAAGAATTGCCATCGATGTTTACCGCCAATAAGTGCGAGCGGCCGAATCTCCTCGAGAAAATCGCCGCCCGAGAGACCGGCCTCGCTCTTACGAGTTCCCCGTCGACGACGCACCGGAATGCCGCTCTAAGGGTGCGCGAGGTCGCGGCCGAGATGCGCGTTTCCTTCCTAAGAGCTCGGTAAACTCGGGCCCCGACGGGAAACGCGATAATCGAACGGCGATCATTTTCCCTTAGCCATTTTTGCGCCGCCCTTTAACTTTTACGGCTCGTCTCGCTGCTCTTTATCGCGCGACTCGGTCCGCGGCGAGTTTTCCCCGGAAAGGGAGCAAGGAAAAAATCAAACCCCGGAATTTCATAATCCTCAAAAGCGGAGGGCTCCGGAGAAGCGGCGGATTTCCCCTGCGGACCCGCACTTTCGGGACGCGTTACTTTGAATCTCACCCTCTTTGCCCGTAAATTGGAAAAGACGAGGTAATTCGCGCCAGCCGCCATTATCAGAGCCAGGAATCACGCAGGTGGAAAATGCAAATCCACACGCTATTCGTCGACCCGATCTCTCCGCCGAATGTCGACTTTCTTTATCGCGACTCGGTATCCCTTATCATATCCGCTATCCACCCCGTTTCGTCCCGAAAGTCAAATTCCGCGGGAAAACGAAACAAAGGGGACCCGACGCGGGAAAGCGCACTTTTTGACGCAGCCTCCACTCGAGCGGGCATTTCCGGGCAAGTGGCATTTAATATTCGCCGAGTCGTTACATCTTTATCGACGATAAACGGCATCCCTGATACGCGCCGGTAACGGGCCCCGAAATGTAGCGCAAAAGCGGCTTTTCCTCTCGGCAATGAATTTCGGAATTCCCGGCAGCACGCGCGTTTCGGCGAAGAGGAAGAGGCGACCAATGGTTCGCGTCAATGTACACTTGTCGAAATGACGCGGAGGCCGTGTTAGATAATTATCGCTAAACGACGTTTATATTTTCACCGAGTGTCCCGAAAATATCCGCGCGTCTCTGTAAATGGCACGAATCCTCGATTTAGACCGCGGGGCGATTTTTCACGTCCGGTTTCCTCGTGACGCGGTCCGGGGACAATATAGAGACGGGATTATTTCCCTCGCATTTGGCGCGGGCCGTAACGACGGGAGGAGAGTTTCGGGTCTCCTGCGATGTTCCCTAGCTTCATCTCTTGCCCGGGGCCCTCGAAATCGTCAGGGAGTCATAAAGGATTCTAATATTCGGGAGCACCGGCGTCGACATCGACGTCGATCGATCAATGGGCCGCGAGAGGCTAACGAGAGGTGAACGACTCGCGGCCCAAGTTCAATTCGGTCGCGCTTTTGTACGCGTCAAGGAGGTGCGATTCCGGACGCGGAACGTACAATGAAGGTCCCTCGAAGCCGGGAATCCGCGTCGGATCAATGGGTTCGGCGTTTCGACCTCTTCGAGGGCCTGGTCGCGGAATAATCGCCGCGAGGACCGACCCTGGTCGCACTCGACACGCTGCAGCGTGCAGCGTCGAGCCGATCCGGACCAGAAATTGCCTCCTTTGATCATCCCACAGGGAATAAAGAGATAATTACCACGTCGATGATCTGCTGGAGCGTGATGCCGAACTTGACTTCCAGGGGCTCGCTCTCGTTGGCGACCGGCCGCTCCAGAGTGTTGTAGCTCGCCAGCAAACTGTTCAGCAGCCTCTTCTCGTGGTATCCACAGAGACAGCCTGAAACGATTAAATAATGTCTCTCTTAATCAGTGTCTCGCGAATTTTAAGGAGAAAAATCAACGCGTAGTCGCTACGCGCGTTAGATGTGAAATTTCCAAGCCAAGAACTGTTACGAGATTTAATCCATTGACGGAGTATATACGTCCGATTTTTAATGTCAACTTCATCAAGAATGAAGCAAGGTCGCTGATTAATTCGTTAGGCGACGAATTGAAATTAAGTAACACCAGTATACGTATACGAAGACTGCAATAGTTCTAAATCCAAATGATGAGCGTAAGCATATAGTAATAAACTGTAAAACAATGAAAACTGTTTAATTGTCCCACATAGGCCCGTTCATAACGTGGGAATTTGCATGTACTACCGTGCCATACGAAGTTTCGCTTGAAAAAGGAAAAACGATTTGGAAATTTACGAGAAACCTAGCGACGCCGAATCGTTAACCTCGCGAGACAATTGCGACGCACCCCTTTTATTTAAGGGGGGTGCAACCCGGGTATCATTTTTCTGGCGCGATGTCGCCCTGGAAAAAGAGTGGAACTAATTGCAAGGAGATCCCAGGGCGTCGGTTCCCTTGATTACCCCGACGCCCGCGATAATCTCGCGCCCTCGAGGAGCGCGACCCGTGGGGAGGTTTTCGCAAAACCGTCACGTCGATCCGTGCTCCGGATGTGACCAAATTGCGAACCGCGAGGCTACGTGCCCCGAAACCGACTTCCGGATACGCACAGAGTCGGGAAGCTCGTATCGGAAAATTCGGTCTTATCGAGCGGCGAGGAAAAATCGGTGCACCGAGTCTTCCTCTTAGAAAATCCGAGGAAAGGAGGATCTTAGTCTGGGAAATTCCCGTCGCCGAGGGACTCTTCTTCCGGGGGTGACCCGGTGAGTCGACCCCCGATCCCTCGACGCGCTCCGGGAAGAAACGAACGTCGCCCCTCGTCGCATCGAATTTGGCCGCGCGTCGAGCCCCGCAGTCCCTCCGCGTCGCGGCACGCCGGCAAAGGATCAATAAAGTAGGCACGCACCCCGCGCACGTCCGTTTTCGCGCGTAACGCGCGCCTTCGCTGTCGATCCAATTAAAGGGGCGCGGAAAAAACGAGGGGGACGACACCCACCCGGAGAGTGTATTCCGAGTGAAACAGGGCGGATTCACCGCTCCTTTTATGACCTCTCTGTCTCCCTCTCGCGTTTTATTCCCGCCTACATTCTCCGTGAAATTATCCGACTCGACTCTCGCGGCTTCCGGGCAACATGATCGTCGAAAAGCGGCGTGGCTCTCGTTTTCGATCCTGACTTCGGCCGTAGACCCTGTAAAGGAGTGAGACATCGTTTCCAGGAGTCGAGATTCGGCCGAGGAACTTCCGACCTGTCGCGACACCCAGGAGTCGATACATCGGAAACGGGAGCGATCGCTGAGAAAACACTCGAGGTGTCGAGTGCTCACTGGGGGGACAAGAAGGAGAGGAGGCTCGGAAGCGGAGCCACATCGGACAGAAGACCTTGCTTCGTGAAGATTTGACTTCCTCGGGAAATATCGCGGATTTTCGTTCCAAATGGAAGCGCGAGGAACTCCTTGGCGAGGAAGTCCCGAGAGCGCGTTTCCGCCGCAAAGAAGATCCCCGGAAAATTGCCGGGGCAAAGTTCGTCTGCCGACTCTGGTCTCTTCGGGTGTTGGTGGAAATTCGAGGTAGCGCATATCGGTGACGCATCGATGACTCTATCGGGTGAAGAGGAGAATGGATAGGAGGAGGAGGACGGAGAGACCGCGAATCGCTGGTGGCTGTTCATCCCCTGCGCGATTCGCGAGATTACACGCTCTTCCTCGTAGTTTTTGTTCCGCGGCGCGGCGAAAAAAGGTCCTCCGGAGCGAATTCCGTCATTAACAGAGGCAGCGGCGGTGCTCCTTTCACCGCGTCCGGGGCGATGAAAGCTGAAAGAGATTGATACGCCCAGTTGGAGGTGGTTTCGCGTGGCGCGGTGCGGCTGGGACGCGCGGAGAGATTACCGCGGCCGCGAGCCCCGAGGCATCCTGCGGAAAGGTATTGCGCATCTCCACCCTCGCCGATCGCTAGTTCCTCGCGGCCTTCCGCGAGAGCTTTGCGATTAGAGGAGCCGAGAGGGTAAACACCGCGCGGCGTCCTCCGCACGCGGCTCGCCCCATTCCGCCGCGGTGGGAAGCGTTTGCGCGAGAGTCGCCCGGAGGAGGCGGCTCGTTACTCGCGTTATTTGCTCCAGTCTCTTTAATTTCGAGCAACGTGTACCCTATACCATCGGATAAGAATGGCCAAAATCGATTACAGGAGGGGTAGACAAATCCGTGCAGCTCCCCCCAAAGTTTGCACTTCCACGAGGAATCGGTGGAAACGAATCGGCACGAGTGGCGATGTGAATTCAGCAATTACCTCTGTAATTACGCCGAATTACCGCCCTAAGTACCTAAGTACCTGGCGACGCGGTAATTGCCGCGATTAAGCCCCGGGGAGCCGCAGCCTTCGGGGAGAGACAGGTCGCGCCTTCGAGGAACGCGAGTTCCGAACGGGGCTTTTATCTGGTTTCTTATTTCCGCGAGGTTTCCCTGTAATTTGGGAAAGAGAGTCGAGACTCCACCCCCTGGACGCCCGTCGTGCGACCTAGACGTCGCGTCTCGGCCGCCATGCGACCTGGCGCAGCGTCGCGGCCCGAGTGAGGGCGAACGAGGGAGACGCGCTCTTAAGTGAGGGGTCCGCGACGTTGCAGCGCGGCGGCAAGGGGAGATCGCGCAACACCGCGGAGCCGTTGCGCGGCCGGGCGCAGGGGTCGCAGGAGACTCAAGGGGTGCACGCGTGCCAGTCGGGCGCGCGCCCCCGGGGGGCGTGCACGCGCAGGCAAGGCGGAGGGGGGCTGCAAGCTCCATTGATCCGCGAAGAATGTACACCGCCTGCGAGGTAACTTTCTCCGCGGTGTACACGCCGATTACCGCGTTATCTGATGCACCGCCTGCGAGGCACGAACCGCCGACACCTCGCGGGTCGGCTGGCGAAATAGTAAATCAAGGTTTCGGGATCCGGGGATCCGTCGCAAAATTGAGCGGCCCCTCTCCACTCTGGACGGAAACGCAGTACGCGAGTCAACGCAATTAACGACGCTCGGCGGGCATGTAGGCACGCAACTCGACGCTGAGTCTTTGCGGTGTACCTGTCGGTAAACACAAATTAGGGCATGTTCCAGGAACACCGCGTGACTAGGACCTGTCCCGACGCACTCGCGAAGGTACACACGAGCTCTCCGTGTACACGCGCGGTACACCCGCCGCCCTGCTGCGCTGATGCCATCAAGCAGTGCAGCGGTTACGCCGTTTCGAAAGTACGCCCCTTTCGCAGAGTGCATCGACAGATGTGCCGGACGTGAAAGAAACGTTCCTCCAACTCGTCGTGGACGGAGTTCGCGTGCTTAGCATGGCAATGTGCTATATAATATTGCCACCTGTAACGCTACTTGTTGCGACCGCCGCTACCTGCTGCGCTTTCCGTTCGGTTCACCTGACGCGTGACCTGCTGTGTCGCCACCTGTGGTAACCTCGCCCCATCAGGTTACACGACGCGTTGCTCGGTGATTATCCGCAATCTAGAATACCTATGCCATGCGCGTCCGTTTTTGCGACCTATGTCGCACCTGCTGCAAGCTCCCCCGTACCGGGTTTGGCCCGCCCACCCGTTGTAACGTCAGAGGGAGTCCTCCGGATGGCTCTTAAAACTACGTCGGATAGGGGACCCAGGAAGAGTATCTAAGTCAATTCCAATGCACGATGCAGGGGCGTTGGAGGAACAAAGGGGTGGCGCGACGTTCCCGTCCCTCGTTCGATAGATGTCCTTTGACACAAAAGGGCCGCGAACTGGCCGAGATCCCACGGCTAAGTTTCCGGAAGTCGGATTGAAAGAGGCGCGAACGTCGTCGCGAAGAAGTTGGATTAGGTCGGGGACGAGGGGCCGGGGCTCGAGATGGAGCGAGAAGAGGAGTGCGGACGGGGCTGAATATTCATCGATTCCGCCGAACCTCGAAGTGGCTTTGCGGGGGGTCGAAGTGCTACTTTCTGTCCAGCCATGCCCCGTTTCGCGTAGAAAATTCCTGCATTCTGGGAAAGGAGCATCGGACCGGGCCGGCACTTTCCAAATTTTTCGGTCGCTCCTGCGCAGAAATATCGCCCAAGGAAAAAAGCAGATTTGCGAGTCTCGGGGGCTGGCGTATCGATCGGCGCGGACGAGTGTCGCGAATTAAAGTATCGCACGTTCGGAATTGTCGCGCGACGCCGAGCGTTTCTGGCGACGCCCGCGTCTCCTTGCAGCGTCCACCCCCTGGGGTGAGAGTTGCACTTTGGGATTATCTCGAGCTGTTGCATTCCGAATAATTTTCGAGAGAAAGCAGGAGCGGGGCCGAGGTTTTGTAAACGAAAACCCGGCGCGGTCCTATTTCGGCCTCCCTTTACGTTTTCGTATATAATGGACTTGGGGAAAAACAGCCCCCGGCGGCGGACCGCTCGCGAAATGCCCCGGGAATCCTCGCACGCACCTCAAAATTTGATTTCATCCGTGCAATGGTTAAACGGGCGCGACGGTTGATGGCATTTTTAAAATTGCCGGTAGAGAGATTCAATCGAAAAAGCGGTTTGGTTTTCGATCAGTCCGAAAATAAATCCGTGCAGGACTCGCTTTAACCGAGATCACGCGAGCATGCATATTCATGCGTCCTCCCCCGACGTTTCAATCTCCAAGGATGAAATAAAAACTTGTACACCTCCGAACCTTCGGAAATAAATGATAATTCATCGATTGTCGATATTTTGGCCGCGTTTGGCAGTGTTTTTCCAACATCGAGGGGTCGAGGGATCCTCGGGGAAAAAAATCACTCGGCGAGTCGGGCGTCAAGCCCTCGCGCCCCGAAATCCCCGCGGAGAGCTTTTCCCCTGCAGGGAAGTAGGTCTCTCCCGGTTGCCGCTCGCGGGTTTCCACGTTTTTCGG